AGCTGTACACTGAGTTGCATAGCTTACAAACTTACAGAACATTTCATGTCAGGACAATATGAATATAAATCCAAACAGTCCTGAACAGTATAATTCTGAGTACATTTACTGCATATGTAAAATGCATTTAGATGCTATTTGGAACCATATTTCACCCTCACTTTTGATTTTATAATTTTAATACTTACATATGAATATACAAATGTCTGCAGATATTTTGAGATCATGTGTTGATATTTCTGGTTTTTTTTTTTTATTGAAAACTACCTAGCATTAAAGGACTACATCAAGCAAGATCTAAGCAGATTTAGAGAAGTTCTAATGAGGGGCATTGTTGAAGTATTAAGGTAACAGTCATCATGGCTATCTGCAGAGTTAGTGCCCATTTTTCCCCCCTTTTCTTTATTTTAAATCTCAGTGCAGAGCAAATACCTGGTATTATTGACATGTAAATAATCAGAGTATCTTCTGTGCAGGTTTTTCTTTTGGATCAGCTGAAAAACATAGAACAGAAACAATTAAGGATGCTTTGCACACTGTGAGAAACGGCAGTCTGATGCTAAGAAAGAAGGACCTTTCATTAGAGGTGGTGTTAAGTTTCAGTGCGTCACTTTGCCACTGACTCTTTAGGTTCAGGAGGTATTTCTAAGTCCTCTGCAGCTGTAGGGCTTTGATTTAACATGCCTGTAAATAACTAGAATCTAACTCTGCTTTGCAGGTGTTGAGGTTAGAAGTCAAAGCAAATTATTTTCTCAGCAATTCTATCCTCTTTGTTAGTCAGTAGATCTTTACAATAAATGCAATTTATACTTAATGTCAGTTTACTCAGAAGACTGCATTGTAGACCACAGATGCTGAGGTTTTCTTTGGTGTGCAAATGTGATGGTTGTGCTTCCTTCTGGTGACCTGGTTTATGGTATCTGCTGTGACAATGGTCCTCCAATCTTTTATGGATTATGAGTTGTACAGTATTTTTGGCCTGTGTTCCTTGAAGATGTTGGGAATGGATCAGGAATAATAGTAGTACATAGGAATTAGATTACATGCTGTTTCTGATTTATAAGCTTTTAATAGGCATGTATTGCAGAGGAAGAGTCTTACTTTGCAACATTTAAACATCATCTCCTTACCTTTTGGCTGTGACGTAGCTTACGTGATGTATTTGAGGCCATCTGTGTGTGGTTTTTTTAAAATGTCATGTGTATTCACACTACATTTAAGAGTCAATATCAAGAAATTTCTTTCAAGACCGTCTACCAGTATGCAGCATGTAAGTCTGTGACAAGTGATGTTACAGAAGGTCATGTCACTTTTAGCTGCTTGCATTAGATCCTTGATTTCCCTAGTGCCCTTCCATTGTTTGATTAATACTACTTGATTTCAAACAAGATATCAGAAGGCATCATTTAGAGTGAATGTTCTAAGGACAACGTAAGATTTTTGCCACAGAACTTTTATTAAAATAAATGTAACATTACATTTTGTCTCTATTTGTTTTATTGCCCACCTTCTCTCTCCTCTCCTCTCCCTCCTTCCCCATGACGTCCCTCCCTCCCTTACACCTCCTCCATGTTAATGCTTGACGTAAGGATCCAAATAACTACTGTATTCCTTCGAAACAGAGTGGCACATGTGTACTTTGTTTGAAAATAAAAGAGGTAGAATCAAAGGATAAAAAAATCCACTGTGGGGTTTTTTTTTACTGTATTCTTAATACAATGTTTAACTAAAACCTGTGTTCATATCTACTATACCTCTCTTGAATGGCCTTGCTTTGTTCTGGAGTAGAATTTACTTCAGTATAAAGCTTTTGTAAGGCTTCGGTGTGCCAGTAATTCATATGTTGTATGACTGTGAAGAATCTACTTTCCTTGTTTTAATTTGTGGCCAATTTCTGAAAACTCTTATTTTGGTGCTTTAATGAATTGTATTATAATATCCATATTGCCTTAATGGTTGTGTGTGTTCCGGTTTTTTCTTCTAACCCTTTCTTTTGAATTTCAAGACAAGTGAAAGCATGGGCTATGTTTCATATACTTTAAAGAATTATTTATGCATCTTGGGTATTGGCACATTTTCATTACATTTTATTTTGCTACAAATATTGAATTCTGTTTTTCTTCCCAAACAATTCAGTACTCCAAATCTAAAGGTAATTGATAGCATGTCTAAACTAGAAAAAGAGCTTAGGCTTTTGAATTAAAAAATGGAATGGAGGAGATGGAAGTCTGGGCTTAGTCTGATACTTCAAGTATTTCAAAGGACTTTTTATGCCCTTTGAACAAGTTAACATTTTGCCTCTCTACAGAAGCTTGCAAAGTAGTCTGAGATCTTTAGATGTGGGGGAAAAAAAACCCCATACCTGAATCTGAAGCGTTATTATATGGATAATTTAGAATTATTGTCATACAAGTGATTTCTGTGAGGTGCCTTCATTTACAATAATTTTAGAGATTTCCAGTTCAACGAACTGTCACCATGCTAACTTGAATGCTAATGTGAGACAGGCATCCTGCTATTCAACCTTCTCAAGACAATGAATTTCTGGATGTACATAAAAGTGTCTAGGTAATGTTAATGTTGAAAAGTAAGAGACCTGCTGACCTAGTGAGCTCTGGGCATTAGGCAGTGTGTGAGCCAACAGATCTGACTTATATCTAGGGCTTTAGTCAACTAATGGTATAGTTAAGTGGGTGTTTTGTGTGTGGAAAAACTGATCTAAGAGAGTTTCCATCTTGCTACAGCACTTAACAGCTTGCTTTCCTCCTCTTTCTCAGTTTACCATTTTCTTTGTAGAGCTGGTGAAGCTGCTCAGTAAACTGGATCACTGGAACCAACTGTATTAAAGGTTTGAGGATGTGTGTTTTTGAACAATTCAATTATTCCAGTGATGCAGTTTACAGCTCAGCTCCCCAAAGACTTTGAACAGCCCAGGGAATATATATATATATTGCAATGAGCAATCCGGAGAGGAACAAGAAGATGATGCAGGTGCGTGGGAACAGAAAATGCCTTTGTTTCAGAGTGGTCAGTGGTCAGTGAAAACTGGATCACTCAGATACCTCTAAATGGGATGCAGTTGTGTATTGAACTAAGGTGTATTGAACTAAGCAAGAGATACATCTGTTTCAGCAACATGCTCTGAACATTTCCGTGTGATCAAATCTGTCTTTGATCCCCCATCTTTGAGAGATGGAGCAGAGTTGGCCTAAAAGGCCAACAGACTGGTGAGGGAGACTTCTTCATGGATAGTAGCTAGAGCACAGCCTAGATTCCTTCTTCTGCCTAAGGGGACCCAGAAGTACATGTGCCTGGCTGGTACCAGGTCTGAGGCTGCAGAAGATTTAGTCAGTCAGGCTCCTCCTGCTAAAACTGTTATTCTGGGCATGGAAGAATTCAAAAGTAATTCCTTCATTTCTCAAGTCATGCTTCCTGCTCATGCTTTTAGACCTGCTTGCTCTTTATGGTTTTTTAGCATTTCTAGTTTTATCTCATTCAAACCTCCAGGACAGAGCAGCCAGTAGGCAGAACTGGTGGTTCCCCTCCAAAGTACTATTTTTAGAGGGGTTCTGGGACAGGGTTCAGAAAAGGAAGAATAGCTGAAACCGCAAATGTTTTGAACTGTGTGGGTGACTTGCATGTATGCACAGTGCCCTACTAGATGGGCATGTTACATCAAACCATATGTTGTTTATGCGTTGCATGGGTCCATGTAACATGGCTAATTGGGACCTTCTTGATGGTACAGCTAACTTTGGGAAAGTAAACTGATTCATACACTTTTATTTTTCAGTTATTCTTTTATCTGAATTTGGCTCTTGGATAAAGTCCCTTAAGTTCTTGTACATAGATGTGGGGACACCCTTGCAGCATTGTCTGAGGGCGTGGCTATGAAGTTTAATTTTAGCATGTTGTCTTAAATCACAAAAATTGTTTCATATCATTGAGTTTTACCTCCAATTTTTCCTCTTTATGCATACTTTATAATACATAGTATAAAATTTATAAAATTTTTGCATCCATAATAGGACACTGGGCTGGATGGATCTTTGCTGACCTTCATTATGGATTTTCTTATATCCTAATAGGTACTTATATATACATAAAGATACAAAGAAGCACACTATTTTCTGCGTAGAAGGAGGTACAACTTTCTATCAACAGAGAATTTTCCTGTTAGGGTCATTGATCACAGTGTAATGAGAGAGAGAGATTTTTAAGTCTGAATCTGCCATGGCCCATCTTTGGAAAATAATTTATCTCTCTGTAAACTAAACTTAGTGGTTTATTTCATGCTGATGGCATGATTATTAATTATTAATATTTGGAGAAAGAATTTAAGGTATGTTTATATTTCATGGTGTTGGACTGAAAAACTATATATGGAAAAATACGTTGATGCAGACGTGGCAGATGTAGCTCACAATTAATGTGCATAAAGTTAGATGCACAGATTGTACAAAATTATTATTAAAGAAACACAGGGCTAATGTTGATAGAGCATATGGTATGTATCACTGTTGAACATGATAAGAAGATAAGCTACTGTGAATTTATTTCTGGCTTTGTATTCTTCAAGAAGCTCTTGGTGAATACTGTAAATTCTATTAAAAGTGTTGACCTTTTATGTAGGTAACCATAAATTTGAAGTGAGCATGTGTGTGTGCTGCATAGGCACCAGTGGAGCTGACAAAGGATTCCTTTAGTTAAAGCAGGCATTTACTGAATTTTGAACTACCTTTTAAATACTTAAACTGTCAAGCAAGCATTTTGCAAAGGAACGGTTTTCAGTATATAATTCCCCAATGTAGGTCAATTAAAGTTATAATACTTTCCTAAATTTGAATCACTAGATCAAGTGTATTTTCCTAGCTATACATTTTCCCTCTGTGCATTTATTTCAAATGTTAATAAAGTTTTCATCTACAAAAGGCTTAGAATTGACAGAACAAAACTCTTTCTTTTTAAATGATGACAACTACTACTGTTTCTGTCTGCAGGTAGTGGAGGACATGCTAGAGGACGAGGAAGAAGAGGATGACAGAGATGACAAGGTAATTATCTTTCCTAGCACTTGGGTATCTGGGGATGGGAGAATTTAGACATGACACTGTTTTTTACCGACAGTTAAAAAAGGAGTTGATGTGTTTTAGTCCAGAAAATTGGACAGAGCTGTTTATCATCCTATAATAACAGATATAGCATGTTGATGAAAAGGTTAGAGGACTATAAATCCTGCTTTCTTTTTCTTTATTTTTCTGGTTTTTCTTTTCTTCTTCTTCTTCTTCTTCTTCTTCTTCTTCTTCTTTCTTCTTTCTTCTTTCTTCTTTTTTTTTCCTTTCTTCTTCTTTTTGCTTTCCCTCTTCCTTTTCCTTTCTATTTTTTTTCTCTTTTCTTGGTCCAGAGATGGATCAAATTTTTTTTTTCTGCCAGGAACAAGAGTATCTCTGCCAGTCTGGAACTTGATAGCTCTTGTGAAGATAACAACAGGTTTTGAAGGACAAAAATTCCTCCTGTCTTGAGTACTACAAATAGTGCTGCACTTCAGGAGAAAAATGGTGTGGAAATAGCAACTCTATGCTAGTTAAGGATGGAATATTGACATCTAAAATTTTCAAAGAATTACTGGATAGAAGAATGACATTTATGTAATCACATATGACATTTAAATAATCACAATTCTCACAGACATCCATTTGATTAGAAGTTCGCATTGTGGCCCTGCAAGCTGGGAAACCACTCCTATTTGAGTGGATGTGATTCAGTTTAGATGCTGCCAGCTAGGTTGAGGATTGCAACCACAGTAAATAACAGCTCATTTCCACATATCATTGAGCCAAGCCATGGGGCTTCTTGGATTGGTTGTCCCCCAGAGAGAGGGAAAAACCAAAGAAAATAAATCAGAACGACCTTGCACCACTGAAACAATGGCTAGCACTGGCAGGATGGCTTTCTGGTGAGATGAGTGAAGACAGCCCAATACTTGCTGGTATTTTCCTATCAGAAGGATGATATTTGCGGAAGAAAATAAAAATTAAGGAAATACATAGTTTTACAACAACTCTGTATTAAAATTCAGATTATTTTGACCTTCACAGATGTTCCCCCACTTCTGTTGTAATACAGCTTTTTTTTTTTTTTTTTTTTTTTTTTTTTTTTTTTTTTTTTTTTTTTTTGTGTGACAAAATTTTTTTTT